TCCCATTAGTCTTCTTCATATCATAAGCAAGATTTTTGAATCTTTAATTGACAAACACTAAATCTCTCATCTTAAATCTAATAACTTACTTTCTGATCATCAATATGGATTTTGATCTTCTTGTTCTACAGCTGATTTGCTAACAGTAATAACCGATAGGTTTTATTGTTCATTAAATAAAGGTTGAGAGGTCAATGCCATTGCTCCTGAATTTTCTAAAGCATTTGATAAAGTTTGGCATGCTGGTCTTCTCCATAAGCTTTCTTGTAACGGTGTGTCAGGTAACATCTTTAAGATTATTGAATTCTTTCTTTCCAATCGTAAAGTAATTAGATATAAAGGAAAGTTTCTATATATTGGTTTACTAACTCTAATTATTTTTGCCTAAGTTGCCATTCCTGAAACTCGTTATACTTTTTTCTGTTTTAAATACTAATTAAATTAAAAAGCCCACTCACTAAACATCATCAGCGATATTGTGAAGCAGTTTTCGCTTCCTTTTAGTTGATTTCTATCTTGTTAATTTAATTTCTATAGTAATTCAATGATTTAATTATTTCATTTGTTTATCTTACAAAGAAGAACTGCTTCCAATATGTTGAACTTTTCAAACTACGTGAAACATAAAATAGGTATTGAAAAAATTAACTTTTTTATTTATAAAATAATTTATAATTATATAAATTATATAAATAATAATAACCATTTATAAATAACCAATAACCAATAATAATGCATTTCAAACATAGTTGGATATGCTTTTGCAGCCAACCTCAAACCACTATCGCATCGTCCTAATGTTGCTTCTCTTTCTCTTTTCTACAAATACTATAATGGGCACTTTTCTAAAGAGCTAGCGTCTCTTGTGCCATCTACTAAAATTCATTCTGGTGTTTCTCGTCATTCAATCAAGTCTCATCCTTTTTCTGTGACTGTTCCTAAGTGCTCCAAAAACTCTTATTCGTCTAGTTTTTTTTCCACAAACATCAGTTTTTAGAATTTGCTACTTCATTTTGTTTTCCTGATTCATATAATTTGCAATCTTTTAAGTTGTCTGTCAATCGTTATCTTGCTCTACAATCTTCGTCTTATTTCTCGAGTATCTTCTAACTCTAATAGTAGCTGCTTGCAGTCTTGCTGAAAGCGAAGAGGTTAAGAAAAAAAAAAAAAGAACTTTGTCAAACAAAATTAACAAAATAAAAAACATTAAAATGCACATGAAAAATCATTATTAGAACACAATAATGCAAGTGGAAATTTTATTTTTCTGTTAAAAAATAAATCTTAGTGTAATGAAAAATGTTCAAAACATTAAAAACATTATGTTTTAAACATTCAATCAAATTAAATTTGATTGAAGATTGAGAGAATAATAGAATATTTTTCTTTATATAAAACATTTCTTTGCAGTTTTGGCTTTCAACATTTTTGCTTCACGTAATGAAACCTTTGTTAAGATATATATATACAGATATATATATATATATATATATATATATATATATATATATATATATATATATATATATATATATATATATATATATATATATAAATATATATATACATACATATATATATATATATATAATACATATATATATATATATATATAATATATATATATATATATATATATATATATATATATATATATATATATATACATATATATATTTATTTATACATATATATATATATATATATATATATATACATATATATATATATATATATATATATATATATATATATATATATATATATATATATATAATATATATATATGTATATATGTATATATATATATATATATATATATATATATGTATATATATATATATATATATATATATATATATATATATATATATATATATTTTATTTGCATTCAACAAGGCTGCAAGCTACCACTATTACGTTGGGAGTTACTAGGAAAAAAAGAACAGAGTTATAGAGCAAGGAAACGGTTGACAGAAGACTTGAAAAGTTGAAGGTTGTATGAGTCAGGAAAACATGAAGATTGGACAGAGTTCCAAAGGATTGAAGTGTGGGGAAAAAAACTAGATGAATAAAAGTTTTTAGAGCATGCAGGGACAGATACAGTAAACGAATGAGACTTAGCTGAATGAAGAGTAAAACGAGAATGAATTTTAGTTGATGGAACTAGAGATGATAACTCCTTTGAGCAGTGACCATGATAGTATTTGTAGAAAAAAGAAAGAGATGCAACTTTATGACGACGGGAAAGAGGCTCAAGCTTAGCAGATAGTGTCCAGGTCCAACAACATTTACAATGCGTTTTTGGACCTTGTCATAAAGAAAAAGTGAATCGTTAGAAGAACCAGCCCAAATATGACAACAGTATTCCATACAAGGACAAATAAGAGATTTGTAGAGGTAGAGAATGGAATCAGAAGTAAGGAAATGGCAAGTACGATAAAGAGAAGCAACCTTAGCAGAAGCTGATTTAGCAATCGATTGTATATATGGTTTCCATGAAAAAGGTCAGTAGTAAGCGTCAGTAGTAATATATATATATATATATATATATATATATATATATATATATATATATATATATATATATATATATATATATATATATATATACATATATACATATATATATATATATATATATATATATATATATATATATATATATATATATATATATATATATACATATATACATATACATATATATATATATATATATATATATATATATATATATATATATATATATATATATATATATATATATATATATATATATATATACTACAGGCTTGGTCATGAAGCGGGAGCAATCGCTCTCGATTGCTGACCACGTAAATAACATTTAGTTGCGAAAAGCTGGCCAGATTTGTTAGTCGTTTTGAGAACATTTTAAAAAGCATTAAAAAAAGTGCAAAAGATTTATTGGACCAATGAGAGACAATTACAAAAAAAAAAACTAGGCAAATAAAATATCTTTTAATGCGAAAAAACTTAAAGCTAAATAAATTACGTTTAGAACAAATATTTTCGATACATCGCTCTTTTATAATTTTTTTTATAAAATTAAGCGATGTTTTTTATATAAAGTAACAACTTACGATTGTTTAAAAAGGAAACAAATGCTCTTTATTTAGCAAAGTTTGCAAGTTTTAGTTTTATTTAAGCTAAATTATTTTATAAATAAAAAAGTTAATTTTTTCAATACCTATTTTATGTTTCACGTAGTTTGAAAAGTTCAACATATTGGAAGCAATTCTTCTTTGTAAGATAAACAAATGAAATAATTAAATCATTGAATTACTATAGAAATTAAATTAACAAGATAGAAATCAACTAAAAGGAAGCGAAAACTGCTTCACAATATCGCTGATGATGTTTAGTGAGTGGGCTTTTTAATTTAATTAGTATTTAAAGCAGAAAAAAGTATAACGAGTTTCAGGAATGGCAACTTAGGCAAAAATAATTAGAGTTAGTAAACCAATATATAGAAACTTTCCTTTATATCTAATTACTTGCTATATATATTTGTGTTCTGTCATGACCTCAGACGCAGTGGTTGTTTATCCGCGAGTTACTTTGTATGCGTTGTTTGTGTTTAGTAAATAGAAACTTCTTATGTTTGTTACATAATTAGTTTTATTAACTATAACGATTATAACTTCATTGAAAACGCAATTATTTTTGTAAGCCTTTGTTTAAATCATAAAAATTGCTTTAAAAGATACATTAGGATAAAAAACAGATACACATAATTACATTTACATAAAGAATACATACTTTTTAAATAATAAATAAGAATATACTAATAAAGTCTTTAATTTATAATAAATTTTTGAAATTTTGACAATTTAATATATATTTAAAATATTTATTTTTGTAAACAAATAATATATATTTTTAAAACTAGAAATCTCAAAACGTAACAAATCGTGAATAATACAATTTTTAAAACATTTCAACAGAATACTCTAAAACTTTATTTCGCTAAGTCAGCGTATTTTTTGAACCAATAGAATTAGTTTCTTCGTTAATTTGGCGGGTTTTTAGTGTTCGCGAATATTCTTTTTATTCTTTCGCACAAAGATGTTTTGAGAACGGAAAACACTAAATTCAATCTTTCAAAGTGCAATCTAAATTTTACTGACCGATGCGATCTCCAACGGAAATATAGTTGTACTTTAAAGTAAAAGAAACTCTGAGATTTTGAATAACATTTAATAACATTTGTATTTAATATTTATTATTAATCATGTTATTATTAATAATATTTTTGTTTAATATCAATTTGATAACATTTATATCACATTGTAAATGTCGTAATCGGATCTAGAATTTTTAAAAACTGTTTAAACAGCACTTTGACGGATTGGATTTAACGTTTCTCTTTGAGAACATTCAAGCTTATTATGTTTCCATGTATGTCCCTAAAACAAAATTTTTTTGTTTTTGTACATAAACTTAAATGTTCTCAAAACGACTAAAAAACCTGGCCAGTTTTTTGCAACTAAATATAATTTCCGTGGTCAGTATTCGAGAGCGATCGCTCCCACTTCCTGACTAAGCCTGATATTACTATAGGTCAGTAGTAATATATATATATATATATATATATATATATATATATATATATATATATATATATATATATATATATATATATATATATATATTGTTATTCTAGCAAACTTAGATAAGCTCTAATATATTTTTCATAATAAAAAGTTTTAAAATGTTGATTTAAATTGTTTTTGATTAGATTATTCAAAAAACTGCTAAAATCAAAAAAATAATAATAAAAAAGAAAAAGAAAAAACATAGCTTTTTTTATAACCACAAAAAGGTTCTTCATATTGAGATGATACCTGCCCATACCTAAATCCTCACTCTATGTTAATATTGAAAGCCTATTACTTTAATATTTAACTGATTACAAAGTCATTTTTGTTGTCTAAAAAACCCAAAATAATAAGAATAAGAGTAACTAATGTAACCACCTCAAATCGTCTACTTCTTTCAACCAAAGCAAATACAGGTACTTGTTACGTTCATGATTAAATTCTTTGCTCAGCTCAGTTAGACTTGTAAGTAAACTTGAAAACACATGTTTGTGATTATCATAAAGAGAAAATACATTTTTCAAATTATTTGCTATGGTGGTAATGTCTTCCTCTAATATATGGCATGTTTCAACAGTCTTCTGAAGGTCCAAAACTTCATTTTTTTCATTCTCACCAATCTAGAAATTAAAGAATATATATTTAAAGATTCGAAAATAATCATAAGGTTTTTTCAATAATCATTAGTTTCATTTTATATTAAATTTGCAGCCATCAGAGTTAGGGTCAGCAATCGGCAATGCTGACCTAAAATTGTCTGAGTTCAGCAATTTATACAGACATCATATCTATGTTGATATAGTAAAACCTTTGTGTTAAGATTTCGTGCCAACCAAAAATAGTTAAAGGTCAGCAATAAATTGCTGATTTTTTCTAAATCTGAAGGCTGAATCTTGTTTTATAAGAAGCCAGGGTAATGGTGGGGCTTAATTTCAACAATTTTCTCACTAGATGATGATTATTCAAATTTATTAGAGTTCTTTTGATAAAAAAAAAGACTTATTTTAATCACATTTTATACTTGAAAAAAGCAAATATTTCTGGTGCAACAAGTATTTTTTTTTTTTAATAGAATGTTGGAAACAATTTAAAATCTAGGGGGTAAGAAAATTTTAGAAATGTACACTCTTTACACTTTTTTTTAAATAATAAATCATTAAATAATAACTTATTTACTACCATTTTTACTAACTTAAAAGAATTCCTAAAAAGCTTGAGAATTTTATACAAAAAAAAAAACTTTAATATGAAAATGATAAGTTGTGAAGATGTTTCTTCACAATTTATTGTTTATTGAATATAATTAAAACAATCTAACAACGCATGGTAGCAAATAAGTTAAATAATTTTATCTTTGTAAAAAATTACCATAAATAATAGTCCATTGTTGGAATCATATTTGTAATATATCTTCTTAGTAAAACCAGATTATAAATGGATGATCTTATGATGGCCTTGAGATGGACCAATTTTGTATCCAAAAGTTCTGTTTTAACTTTTTTCAATTTGATTTTTTTAATTTGCATAGGAACAAAAAATACTTTATCATTTTATGCATTTTATTGAAAAATTTCAAAACAAAACAAAAGTATATTTAACAAATATAATTAATAAAGACAATTATAATATTAAAAATATTTTAAATATGCACACTAATTGTTTATTACAATTGAAAAAAAAATTCTTTAAATTAATTAAAATCTGAAATTTTTTTTACAATTGAGTAATTATTTGAATTAGCTAATAATAATCTATTTTATAAGTCTTAAAAATGTTAAGATAGTGGCCTTAAAAACTCTTAGATTGTTCAAGAAAATATATATGATTCAATAATTTAATAAAATAACTAAAGCTGTGGATGCAAATTTAGGGCAGATTTAGAATATTATTACTTTTTGATCTTGAATGTTTAAATAAAAAAAATTATTTTACATTTTTTAGTTTTTAAAGTGTAACTTAGCTATGTCAGTGGATTTTAAATGCTGAGTTCTTACTTGAACGAATGATATATAAGAATTAATACAAAATAATTTAGTTAAACTTATTATATTAAACATGATTAATTTAAAATAAAACTTGATATATAAAAAAAGATGCTTACAATATGAAACAAAATACTTTTATTAAAAATTTTACTACAAAAAAAAAAATTTATTTATATCTTGTTGATACTGTTTTAATTTTACAAAAAAAAAGTTAAATTATCGAAATATACTTTTGTTTTTCCTCAACTTGTTGAAGAATTTCGCTTAATTTATTTCGACGAATCTTCCATAAGTTCTTATCAAAAGGAATTTCACTACGACTTAGAAGCTCTAATGCATTTGAATAATCTTGCTCCTTACAAAAAGTTCCTTGCTCAAGTATTGTGTTTAAAATTTCTTCTGGAGTCAAGTTAAGCAACTCAAAATACTTTCTTGCCATGTCTAAATTTAAATCTCTTCGTGATGTTATATTAGCTAGCTCCTGCTGAATGGTAAAAATGTTTTGACACATTTTTTTAACACCATTTCGATTAATTTTTTTAATATAACTTGTGCTTGCAATAATTATAGCAGCTAACAGATAACCCAAACCATCAAACAAATAATGCATTTTAACTGGAGACAATGCACCTGAACATGAATCTTCTATATCTCTAAGATCCTTTGCTAACTGTGGTATTTGGGGATCCACTTCAATAGAATCAATATTACAAACAAAACTAGACTCTCTAGTTGCTTTTCCAATAAAGTAAAAACAATGACACCTTATTTCTAAATGTAATAAAAGAAGACAGCTTTCTGACATATCTTTAAACTTTTCTCCCATGTCTTTTATTAAAGTTAATAAATCATCATTTACCCAGTTCCTTTCTACAAATGAATCTGAAACAGTTAGTTGAGATTTTGCTGAAACTTTTGAATAAAATGTTTGTATCTTTTCAGATAACCACTCTAAACTTTCTTGAAGATTTGCTAGAGATTTCAGATCAAGTACATCAAGAATTACTTGATTTTTCTCAATTTCAGATCGTTCAAGATTACTTATTAGCAATGACGATTCTCGATCTTGGAGTTTTCTGGTAGTTTCAAAGTCTTCCTCTTCATCCAACTTCAAATTTTGTTGATTTTTCAATCCGATCCAATTAGGTAATGACATCAATAAACGCTTGATATCATCATCTTTAACCCAGTTAACACTAATTATTCGAGATGCTTTACCATCCCCTTCTCGATAAACTACACCCTTATATTCATTATGGCAAGATTCAAAGTATGCAGATAATGTTTTAATAACAATGTCAAGAATCTCACGTGAATAACTAGGGAGTATTTTTGTTAGCTCAAGCAACTCCTCCATGATATTATAAACAACAAGACTGCCTTTTAAAATAGGTCTTGAAATATCCAAGTTTTTTTGAGCTTTTAAATCGCACAAATTCCTTAGGGCATCGTGACCTTTTGTTGCTGCACTTGTCTTTTCAGAGACTTCATAAAGAAGTTGATCTAAAAATACTTTTTCTACAAAGTTAGTTAAAAAATGGTACAAAACACCAGAAGATCCCAAAGTGGAGTTTGTTTTTAAATCAATTTCTTTTATGAAATTCATCACTGGAACAAATATAGTTGTTATATTTTTTGCATTTGGTTTACATAATAGTTGTGGAGGATTCCATACAACAAAGTCAGTGTAACTATCTTCAGATAAACCAGAAGCTATGTCCTGCTCACGCATATAACTGTGAATTGCTTCTGCTGATGAAGAGCATTCAAACTTAAATAACTGTGCAGGTTTTATTTTGGAAGCAACACTCATCGGAAGTCTCTTTTTTACAGTAAAAAATGAAGCCACATCACTATCCAATGTACCAAAAGAAGTAAAACCCTGCTGAGGTGCAGAGGAGTTTTGCAAATTAAGATATGGTTGAAGCATATCTTTAATTGCAAACTGTATTTTTGACCATATATCCTCCATTGTATACAAATTTAAATCTTTAGACACTTTTGTTTGTTTAAATGCACCAAGTAAGATGCTATGATTAAAAGCAACACTGCGAAATTTATCAAAAGATATTTCAAGAAGCTCTAATAATATATTTGAATTGCCTTTAACTGCAAGCTCTTCAATTGTTAAAACTTCTCCAATATCTACGGCACGCTTTGCAACAAAATCTGATGATTTTCTAAGGACCATGAACATATCTCGCTTAATTCGTTCTTTTACCATTTCAACAGCTTCAAACACTTTGTCCATAGAAACTAGTGATCGGACTAGTAAATTAATAAAAAGAGGCACATTTTCCTCAGGATCGAGTTGCAAATCTTCTTGACATTCTTCCAGTATAAAAGTTGGTACTTGATCATTCTTTCTTATTTTTAAATTACTAGGTTTATATGAAAAAGTTCTTTTAAAAGCAGCAACATTTGTTTCTGAAACACCTTTTTTAAACAACTTTTGGGAATCTGAATGAATTTGCTTGCTAATTTCATCAACAACTGCTTCATACAGCAGTGACTTTCTTGCATGTAAACTGGACCGAAGATCACGTAAAGCATCAACATTAACTAACTGTGTATCTAAATTTAAAATAGCTTGGGCTAAAAGATTAGACGCATGAAAATAGTGCTTTCGATGTAAATACCTTTCAAGCTGTTCTGGCACAGCTACAGCTTTTTCAATTTTGTCAAGCAGATTTAATTTTTCGGAACACTCTAAACCTTCTTGCCAATGAATTTTCAAGTCATCTCGGTTGCAATACAGCAATGTTCTGCATAATAACAATTTCTCATGTAGAACTTTAATGCGATTTCTACTACCAGATATTCTTGTTATAACTGAGCCAAATGACTGAACTGTTTTCTTTAAATGATCTTGATTTGCTTCAACAAGCTCAATAAGTTTTTCATCTGCTATTTTTAATTGTGATTGTAATTTTTCTTTTTCTTGCTCCCTCCTTTTTGCATCATCAGAAACTGATAACTGTTTAATTACACTACTTAAAAGTGCTACAGAACTTTCAGCAGTAGACATAACAGCTACCAATTAATTTGTAATATTTTTATTTATTTTTTTTTACTTGAAAGCTAAAACACAAACAAAGTATCATCATAAATTAAATATATTCATATTCATTCATATAATTTTCATATTTTCAAAGGTATTAAATCAAATAATCAACAAAGAACAAAAACATTTTTTTTACATATATGTTGAGGTGTTGAGACTATTATAACCATGTATTCAAATATATCAAATTTATAAAAAAAAAAAAAAAAAAAAACACTTTTTCAACAAAAAAAATATAATTTGATTTGGAATTGTATTTCAAAATATTTTAAATTTAGAAATACAATTGACATAGATTTCTCCCCTAGTATATGAGTGTGCGAATATACTTATTTATTTTTTTACTGTATTTAACTCTCTTAAGGCATAGGACTACAGTTGAGGTAGCTAATTTTTTAAATAAATTGTTGTTACTATCTTTTAAGTCCAAAAACAAGTTGAATCTTGAAAATGACTGTGAAACCTTGACTGCCTGTAACTTTATTAAATTATTTTTTAATAAAGAGCTGACAAAAACTAAAAATCAAAAACATTAAAAATTTTTGGAAAACTTTTTGCTTTGAAGTAAAACTTTTAGTTGCACGTAATTATAAGTTTTAAAAAACTGTATACTTTCTCACAAACATTTTGTATAATTTTTATATTTTGTCATGTGTATACAATAGTATATATATACAATGATAAATTCATGTATGTATGCATATGCAACCCTTGGAATTAGGAAAAATGGGAACGGCAATAATTTGCCAACCTCAATCTTTAAGAGGTCAGCATCAGGTCGACAAAAAAAAAATTTGATACAAAGGTCTTACCATAAAACATAAAACTGAGGTCAGCAATTTTTGCAGACCACAAAAATTTTTAGGTTGGTAGTAAAGTCAGCATTACCGAATGCCGATCCTAATTCCAAAGGTTAGTATATATTATTATTATTATTATTATTATTATTACAATAAATATATTTCAGACAACAGGTAGATACAATTTAGGTGCCAGGTCCATAGTTTTTATAAGAAAAATATTATTTTAAATTTGATTAAGTGAACACATGAAATTATTTACAAAGGAACAAGCCATCAACTGTTTACAAAAAGCATGTCTGTAGTTTGAGATAATTGTATGAAAAGATGGTAATCTTTTCATACAATTATCTCGAGTTAAAAAGAAATAATTTAACAACCTCAAAACCTTTATATAAAGAAACTAATAATAGAGTGATGACTAATTGTAAGATAGTTAGAGAGGTCAAAGTGATTTCTAGAGTTTTGAAAAATTAGAACCACTTATTTAGCACTTTTTAAAAGTTTAACAAAAATTGAAGAGAAAACTTTTTAAAAAATGAGAAATTCTGAAGAACACTTTTATAAGACTATGGTGGAAATCTTGTCAGGAGCACTAACTGTAGACCGTGTTTAATTAGGAATTAATTTTGGTATTGGAAGCCAGAGTGATTTCAATGTTTAACAATAGGTTAATCTCTTTAACTGTCAGGAAGAATATGGCCATTATATTCAAGAGTCAAATTAGAATAAGGTTTCTATGCGAATAACTCTGCTTTATTCTGGGGAGAAGTAAAAAGATCAGACCCATGAATTTGAGATTAAATGTTAGACTTACTTTAGTTAATGACACTGTTAAATACTAACTAAGAGTCTATGGAACCTAACATCTGAGATAAGATACAAGATTTAACAAAGTGAGAATAACAGAGCTTAACATCAGATAGGACTTTTTTACATTGGCTTCTCAACAAAAATAAATGTGGAGTAGAATGAGGCTTGACTTAAAATTGAAGAGAAGTAATAAAAGCTTCTAAACTTTTATTTGAGAAGGAAAAAAAGCTTCCAAGAAGCACTTTATGCATACATATTATGGATATAAACATATCTTTTTTCTTTTTTTTTAACTATTTACCTCCCCATGGCCCGAGGGGGCCACTACAGTCGAGGAGGCTACTCATTTATTTTTTTTGTTGTAAATAGTGGTACAACCCTCTCTCAACTCTTTAACTTCGAAACACGAACCTTGACAAGCAAAGCCGCTGCGCTGAGAAATTAAGTTGAGCGCGGTACTTCCAGGGATGTGGTGGGAGTCGAACATTGAACCTCTCGCTTACAAAGCAAGCTCTCTTACCACTACACCACTACCGCATCTGTTAGCTATTAATTTAGATGCTGGCATACAATATCCTTTCATTGTTATTTAAACTTTAGTATTTATATAATGTAGTATTTGCCAAAAGAGATGATCATATGGATATTTAGTATGACTCTAGCAAAACAAGAAAAGGAGGTATAATCTTAGAAAGATTAGAAAAAACGTTGTATCAAACGTGTGTTAGAAAAGATTTAAGTAATTTAGGTATCAGTATGTAGAGAGGTAGCAACAGTGTAACAGAGGTAGAAACAGTATAAAAGAGGCAGGCTAAAGCCTGATGATGATGATGATGATGATGATGATGATAATAATGATGATGATGATCATCATCATCATGATCATCATTATCCAGCTTTAGCCTTCCTCTTTTATGCTGTTGATGATGATGATGATGATGATGATGATGATGATGATGATGATGATGATGATGATGATGATGATGATGACGACAACGAGAATGATGATGAAGATGATCATAAGGATTATGATGATCATGTTGATCATAATGATATTTAAATATGTATATACATACAAAATATAAATGAATTTAAAAAATATACTTTAGGATGTATAAATGTTTATGCAGCCCTGGTCACCAGGCCCTGGCCCTGACTCTATTTTATCAAATCCGGCCAAAGCCCTGGTCAAATATCAACCCCCATCACTTATTAGTTCTAAGAAGACATTTATTACAAACTGTATTTAATGCATGTACTTGTAAATGTGTTGAAGATGGTGTAGAAGAGAACTCACAATGTATTTGTCCACTTTTGCATAAATTTTCTCAGACAGAATGATCTTTCTGGTTAGACCAAAAAACTGAACAGAAAATAAATTTAGATGCTATAGATAAAAAGGCTACAGCTAAGTTGGAGAAGAAAGAGATGAGAGCAGTCAAACGTTGAAACTTGAGTGCAATTAGTAAGTGAAATACTAGACAAAAGCTAATGATGATGATGGTGATGACGTAGAACTGCAACTAAACAGGGGTGAAGAAGTTTTTGATGGTGAAATTTCCAGTAGTAAATTTGATGATGGTATTGTAGTAACTAGAAACATAAAGCAGTATCAAAAATTGTGAAAAGCTTTAGAAGACGCAAGATTAGTACCAGAGACGGTTGTCTAGTAGTGAATGCAGTACTAAAAGATACAAAGCTATTATCAGCAGAAACTACAATAGATCCTGAAAAACACCAGAGAAGTTATTGTTAAACTATAATGTTCATTTCACCTAAAGAACATATTAATATAAAATCTTATTTAAATTTGGACGAGCGATTGTGATTTTAAGATGATTTTTTTTAAAAAAAAGATTTCACGTTCTGCTACAAATATTTATATTTTATGATACCGCAAAATTTATTATTTGAATTTTTTTCGTCTTTTCATAATTCACAGACCAGACCATTTCACGGAAATATAGAAATAAAGAGTAGCAACTATTTTTAAAAAATTTATGACCCAACCTAATATATATATATATATATATATATATATATATATATATATATATATATATATATATATATATATATATATATATATAATATATATATATATATATATATATATATATATATATATATATATATATATATATATATATATATATATATATAATATCATATATATATATATATATATATATATATATATATATATATATATATATATATATATATATATATATATATATATATAATATCGTATATATATATATATATAATATCGTATATATATATATATATATATATATATATATATATATATATATATATATATATATATATATATATATATATATATATATATATATATATATATATATACCAGGTATACCGGTATGAAGTGAGCGTCAAGATACAAATGTCTCGATAGGGAACATTTGTTGTGAATGAGTTTTTTTTTTTTTTTGTTTGTTTGCTATGACATCTGTGAAACATATTTAGTATACATCAAGTCATTGAACAGACAACATCATATTTTTTCATTGTGTTAAAAATGTCGAATTTTGTACCGGAAAGTGATGATTTGCGGAAAGCATTAATTTTTTGTTTTCATTTGAAGTGCTGCAGAGTCGCATCGAATGCTTGTCGAGGCATATGGTGATCATGCTCTATCAAAAGCAACATGCAAAAGATGGTTTCAACGGTTCAGAAATAATAATTTTGATGTGAGAAATGAAGAACGTGGAAGACCACCAAAAAAGTTTGAAGACGCCGAATTGCAAACGATATTGGATGGAGATGACACTTTGAGTCAAAAGAAAATGGCAGAAATGTTAAATGTTGCACAACAAACAATTTCTGACCGTTTAGAAGCTATGGGAAAGATCCAAAATTGTGGAAAATGGGTGCCACATGAATTGAATGAAAGACAGATGGAAAACCGAAAAAACACTTGTGAAATTTTGCTTCAAAGACACGAAAGAAAATCGGTTATGCATCGGATTGTTACTGGCGATGAAAAATGGATTTATTTTAAGAATCCTAAACGGAAAAAATCATGGGTTAATCCGGGACAACCATCAACATCGACTGCAAAACCAGATCGATTCGGCAAGAAGACAATGCTGTGTGTTTGGTGGGACCAGAAAGGTGTGGTGTTCCACGAGCTCCTAAAACCTGGTGAAACCGTCAATACTGATCGCTACCGACAACAAATGATCAATTTGAACCATGCATTGATCGAGAAACGACCAGAATGGGCCAGAAGACACAGCAAGGTAATTTTGCTCCATGACAATGCACCTGCACACAAAGCAAAACCGGTTCAGGATACAATCAAAACACTTGGCTGGGAGCTGCTACCCCACCCACCGTATTCACCAGACTTGGCTCCTTCCGACTACCATTTGTTTTCATCG